ATTCACATTAGTGTAATCTAGTACAGTAGTAATCTAGCAGTAAAAAAACACTGGTCCACGGTCATCTTCGAGAAGTAGGCCACCTGTTGTCAAACTAAAGTTTCAGAAATCAGAACCTGCCTGACCAGGCAACCACTCTCGTTACCGTTTTAATCCCATTGATTAGATTAGCAACCCATCTTTTCCCCGACATCAAAGATGCTAAGCCACGTTAATCAAAGCCTGAAATGCTACTGCATGATTCTCTCTTGCTTCTACAAGGTGTTTTTGGCTTGGCTGCCTCTGAACCCAACCCATTCGTTCTCAAGTTTCTCTGCATTTGTTTTCTACTGTACAATGTTTGATGCTTTGCCTAGCTGCAGATCAGCCTTCTCGAGTATAGGCTTTACGAATCGATTCTTCCGTACCACAAGGAGCCATGAACAATCCATCCAATGTATTGTTCATCCCGGTGCAACACAAGATATATCGGGCTATCGGCCAATGGATCGCCATGGAAGTATGGAACTGTGAGTACAGTAATTCTGACGAAGTGTGACAATGTCAAGTCATTTCAGATTGAAGAACTTTTTTCTTTTCTGTTTTGCAAGCTCGTTTTCATCTCCAATTCTTTTCTGCAAAGATTAAATATCATGATATGCAGTGGTGTCTTGGCAGATCTTTCTTGGCTTATTGCTTCACACGAATTCAGAGGATTGCTAGTTTCTGTACTACTAGCAGGAGAACAATTCCTGAACTCTGACTCAAATCCTTTTTACCTGAACACTCCTGCAGCTGCTACGCAGTGTCCCAACTTCCATGACAAGATGAGTACTGCACTGCATTGACTGGAGTAGTATGGCACAAATCTTTCTGTGACCACTTTATATAGGAGTATCCCCTACTAGCTACCTTTGCAGCAAATTTCAGAGTCCAACTGCTGTCATTTCTGAACACACATTGCATCCATCCATCCTTACTACTGTTTTTGTTTTTGTGAGAGGGATTAAAGTTTAGCCCCACTTTAGTCCCTCCAACCAAACACCACCTTACTGCTGTTCTCTTTACCTCATGCCACCAATCACTTGTCGCATTGCCTCTTGGAACCTAGAGTATGGACTGCAGGAGACAGAAGCTTGGGCTCATAAACCCAAGCCAATCATTTGGAGATAGATACTGCCATGGCTGGCTGCAAACAAGAGGTATAGCTAAAGAAAACAAAACAAAACAAAATGCTTACTACTCGCTCTGTTCCAAAATACACCATCCGTCCTAGAAAGAATAAACTTCTAGGCTCAGAAGTTGTTGTTGTCTCGTTTAAAACAAAGGGAGTTTGGAGTATTAAGGATTTATAGGTTGTTTAGAAAATACTAAGTTTAGGGCAATTTTTTTTGTCATTTTAGTTGTCAATTTTTAAATTTTGAATTGCATAGATTCTCTTTCCAAGCATCTAATTGGCTTTGGAATTATTGAAATGATGGGAATTGTAGAAATCAGAGAAGGAATGCTTATATGAGTATTAAAAACTAAATACTAGAAATCCTGATATTTTGAAACGGAGGGAGTACTATAATTAAAACACATGCATTGGGATAAGGTTAGAGGGGGATCTATGCTGCTGCTGTGGACTGTGGTGAGCTTTAAAGGGTTTTAAGGGAAGGTGCTTGAAGATGTCAAAGACAATGGAAAAGTGGAGTTGGGAAAAGATGAAAAAGAAGCATCTTGGAGCAAGGATGGGAATCCAGATTCCATCCATCCATCCACAAGATGAACTGAAGAAGAAGAAGAAGAAGAAGAAGAAGACTCTGCTTTCAAAGGGGCTTTAGGTAGTCAAGTAAAGTACTCTAGCTGCATTTGCAAAAAGGCTTTTCTTGGGCCAGTAGAAACATGAGGAAGCTAGGCATAGGCAGAGGAGCTCTTGGTGATGATCCAAATCTTGGAAAGGGATACTGCAACTGCATGCAGAGTGGATGGATGCCATTGGGAACAGCAGCTGTTGGTTGGCATCGATCTCTGAATGACGAGTTGCCACTTCACAATGATAACTCTTGATCAATTCCCACTTTGCAAGTAAAAAGCATCAGAGGTTTTATACTCTGTTTTTGCCCTCCAGATTTCAAATACTACCTGTTTTTATATTTTTAAAAATATATTAAATACCGGTTTTCATAAATTTTGGTTGAGATTGAAGTAGTTTTACTCCATGTGCCTGTGTTGCAGCGCTTGATCTGATCCCTTGTCATTTACAGGACGAGGCCACAATGCAAAGTTTTGGTAATTGCGAGCACATGGGCCGTGAGAGAGAGAGAGAGAGAGAGGGGGGAAATTCGGCGAGTGGGCCATGCAGCCCACATAGTCAGCTTTGGCCTGGCCCGGTATCGGGGCTATGGGCCGCTCTAGATAGGCCCATAAATGACAGACCGCGGCCCATCATGCACGGCGTTCTCCAGATGGGCTCCAAATCTGACACTTCGGCTTAGGCCCCATTCTAACCTCCAACGACGACTTACAATTTTCTTGTTTTTCGTTAGCAAATTGCTAAACTCCTAAACGGTATTTTGGGGCAGCCTAGGCTCGGGCGCCCGATCAATTCGGAGTAAAATCGCCTCCGATTTACGTGTAAAACTACTTTAAACTGATTTTTCTTTTAAATTACTTATCCAAATCATGATCCGATTGCACCATTAAATTCGTTGCAATTAAATCTTCAAAACAAGATTACACATGGATATATTCCGATGAAAAAAATTAGCTTATTATTGAATTACTTTTAAGGCAAAATTGGTTATATAGCATCGAAAGTTCACGTTTTTGGTTTTATAGCACCGAAAGTTACCGGTTCACTTTAATAGCACCCAAAGTTTACCATGTTCCCATTTTTAACACTTCCGTCAATTCTCGATCGTTTTCCGTCCGTCTTGATCCAGTCACACACACGATATGACGTTTCTACCCCTAATAAGTACAAGTATAATGCATGTCAATGAGGGGTAGAAATATCATATCATGTGTGTGGCTGGATCAATAACGATTAAGACGGACGGAAAAATTGATGGAAGTGCTAAAAATGGGAACAAGGTGAACTTTGGATGCTATTAAAGTGAACCGGTAACTTTCGGTGCTATAAAACCAAAAACGTGAACTTTCGATGCTATATAACCAACTTAGCCTTTTTTTAAATGTTGCACGATGTTCCACCAGGTATATCGAAATTGTCTCACTAAGTACATCGAAAATGTTTCACTCGTTTAAATCGGGTGTTGTTTCACCTTATATAAAAACAATGTTTCAGCAAATAGCGAAAGAATGTTTTAGTTTACTGCAACATTTGATCCATACATAGTGAAACATTATAAGTACACTAGGTGAAACATTTTTCGATGGAACAAAAAATAAAACGAATTCCCTTAATAGGGGGTTTCCAAAATATGTGGGTTTTTTTGTTGCAATGGAATATCTCAGTTTACTGCAACATTAGATCTATACATAGTGAAACATTGTGAGTGCACTAGGTTAAATATTTTTGGTGGAAAAAAATAAACCAAATTTTCTTAATAGAGAGTTTCCAAAATATATGGTTAATTTGTTGCAGGGGCAGGCACTGTGGTGGGCCAGACACATGGTGGGCCAGCGGCATGCAGGCGCATGGCCGCGCGCGGGGAGCGGGGCCGGGGGGAGCACCCGATTTTGCTCCCCCGTCCAGTCACCCAGATAGCAGCATTTCCCCGGTATTTTTATAAAGGAAAAATATAATACTGGAATTGATCATGCGTAAATAATATGTCTCGTTTTTTTCCTCAGACTGATTTGTCTGTCTACACGGTATGATGTGTTGGATGGATTGAACTTTCAAGTTTAGGCCGTGTTCAGTTAGTTGGCCAATTTTTTTTATGTATACTGACACATATTTGAAGTATTAAACGTAGATTAATGACAAAACAAATTATAGATTCCGCCTGTAAACTGCGATACAAATTTATTAAGCTTGATTAATCTGCCATTAGTAAATGTTTACTATAGCACCACATTGTCAAATCAGGACACAATTAGGCTCAAAATATTTGTCTCGCAATTTACATACAAACTGTATAGTTGGTTTTTTTCGTCCACATTTAATGATCCATGCATGTGTCTAAATATTTGATGCGATGTTTTTTGCCAAATTTTTTTAAAATCTAAACACAGCCTTGTTGTTGTTTTGGAATTCAAATTCGTATGATTAGCGAGCCTCATGTTGATTTGGGAGTAGTAGAACAGCTTTCACCTGGCACTCCGTACAACCGCTCATCCTAGCCGAACGTGTATGACCTCGAATGCTTTCGACAAGGACAATCATTAACCATGTTTGTTTCAGGGCCCTGGCAAATGGATCACAACGATTTCACATCACTTCGTAAACCGTTTACTCCGTCCTAAAAAATCCAACCTAATACTCTATCCGTCTCAGAATATAGTAACCTAGGAGCGGATGACGTATCCTCTCTCCGTCTCAGAATATACTAACCTAGGAGCGGATGACGTATCCTAGTACTGGATACGATACAACCTAATTCTATAAATTTCTATTCAGATTTGTTTCGTTGTGTTAGAATATGTCATATTTCTTCATTATTTTTTTTACGAAGAGAGTAGTAGATCTCACATCTCGGTAGTCTATTCAAATCAACCTTGGCCGCCGTCCTATCCACGGCGAGCCCCACGGCCCCCAAACCCGCCGGCCGCCGGTGGGCCACCGCTCCCCCCACAACAATTAATTACTAACTCCTCATTACTAAATGATCTCTTTATTAATCCCTTGTACACCTGTAACCACTCCACAGTCCACCCCAACCCAGCGTAACGTCCACTCATCGCGAGCCGCTCAATCCAAATCCAACGGCATCCCGCAACCCACGTGTCCCTCACCGCGCGCGAGTTTGAATTTCCCAACGGCTCTCTCGACCGTTGCTGCCACGCTCCTGAAAAAAACCAAAAAAAAAAATAAAAAAAACACGCATCTGTTTTTATTCTCTCCCATCTCTCCCGATCTCTCGCCCATTTGCCACTGATCCCGAAACAAACAGTTGGCGGCGGCGGCGGCGCGAGGCGATGGCGGCGACGGCGTTCACGGAGGAGGAGAAGGCGGTGGATGACTCGCTCGGCTACCCCAAGGCCTACGCGCGCCTCTGCCGCGGCGGCGGCGGTGGCGGCGGTGGACTCCCGTACGGCCACGGCCCGCCGCACGGCTTCCTCCCCTACGTCCTCCACCCGCACGAGGTAATGGGTGCTCGTCGAGGTGATGGTCGCGGCTGCTGGTGCGGTGGTGAGCTGATTGGGGTGGTTGTGTTGGGTGGTGGTGCAGGCGATGCGGGCGAAGGATCTGAACGAGATGTTCCCGGTGGCCGACGCGGAGGCGGCGCCGACGGCGAACCCGCGGGGGTTCGCGAACCTGCTGTGGAAGCAGCTCGACCACCTCGGCAACGCCGGGTTCGACCCGGCGCTGTTCCGCGTCGACGCCTACGGCAACGTGCTCTACCTCCACGCCGACTCCGCCTCGCCTCTCGCGTGGGACATCGACCACTGGTTCCCCTGCGCCCGTAAGAAACGCAGATCGAACGAACTCATCCCAACATCCGCTTCCACATCATTCCTTCGATCTCTAACGAGATTGTTTTTTTTGTATTTGCTCGCAGGAGGTGGGAGGACGGTGCCGAGCAACCTGAGGATCGTGCAGGCGCAGGTGTGCAGGAAGAAGCACAACAAGCTGGAGTTCCTCGTCCCGTGGTGGGATCTGCAGCTCGGCATCTCCGTCAACCAGTTCCTCTCCATCTTCGCCTCCAAGAACGCCGACTTCAGGTTCGCCCATCCGCATCGAACAGCTTAATGTGTCTCTGCGGGTTTTTTTTTACCGATGCATCATGGATCGAATCCTTCTGAGACTTGCAGGAACAGAGCATTCACGTTCTTGTTCGTCGACGGGGCCAGCGAGGAGCTCACCTCGATGCAGGCTGTGGAGGCGCACGCGTTTCCGCACCATTTCTCCGATTTGACCAAGAAAGTTGGCCTTGCCCCTGCTGCCATTGTTTCCTCCAGGGGATCCGATAGCTCGGTGCTCAAATCTCTTGATGCAAACCGGCCGCTCAGGCCTAATTATCCTCTCATTGGTATGCGAAATACCTATTTTTCGATAATTTGAAGGATTTGTTGTGTTTGTACATGAACTTGTGCTAAACTAAATGTTCACTACCTGTTTCTTTAGCTGCCAAGAAATTCACGGGAGAAAAGGATGAGAATTTTAACGTGCCAATGTCCAACCATGGGCCTAATTCGACTAAGGAGAACAATAATCCGGATGCTGATGGCTACATTAGCAACCCTTACCTGTCCATTGCAACGGCTAGGGACTCGCTGAGGCAAAGGGAAGAGGCCAAGAAGAAGCAAGCTGAGCTCACTGAGCTGGAGAACGAGGCCACTGAGCTGAAGCAGAAGAATGAAGAGGAGCGGGTGGCCATCCAGGACATGGAGGCCCTCCTCATCAAGAGGCGGCGGCGCGTCGAGAAGTGCCGCCGCTTGGCGGAGGCTCAGTCGAATTACAAGGCTGTGCTGGAGAAGATGATCAGAGACGCCATGCACCAGTAAGGATGAATCTATGCAGCAAGAGCCAAGAACTCTCATGCAGTTGATTTCAATGTCGATTGTTTGTGCTAATTGTTGATTGTGGTGCAAAATGTGCAGGTCTGTTGTGTACAAGGAGCAGCTTAGGATGAACCAAGCTGCAACGAGCACTCTCATGGCGAGACTCGAGGCCCAGAGAGCAATGTGTGACTCATCCGAAACCGAGCTCCGGAGGAAGTACCAGCAGAAGGATGAACTGGAGAAGCAGATCAAGCCTTTCACCGATCAAGCAAGGAAGCGGTATCGTGTTGACGATGATGGATTGCTAGAGGAAAGGCACAGCTTAGAAGAAAGGCACAGTGAAAGGGTGAAGTATTTTCCAGGAATAAGACTGAGGAGCAGAAACCCTCTCAAGCAGGAGCTGAGGGTTTTCCTGGAGGAGGACCAGAGGGCTTCAGATGCATACATCTCCCTAGAGGAAGAGGAAATTGCAGGTGAAACTTCAACAATGGGAAATTTCAGGAATTCACCTTTCAAGGTGATAAACTTCCCAAGGAGGTCCATGGAAGACAACACAGTTGACACTGAGAGAGGAAGAGCATCAGTGAGGGAGAAGCTGGAGCATCTGGCGATCAAAGAACGGCAGCGCGGCAGAAGGAGAGAAAGGACCATGTCATCAAGGGGATCAAGGGCAACTAGCACTCCTGTGAGGTCAAGAGATGGCAATGGCAAGGGCAAAGCAGCCATGGTGCAATGTGAGTCTGAGACTGAAAGATCTCAGACAGTTTCAGTGCCAAGGACATCCTCAGTTCCTCCAAGTCCTCCTTACAGAGTAACTGGCATGTATGGAACACCTAGATATCCTGCAGAGAAATCGGTGCTATTGAAAAAGAATAATGTGATTCATCGGCAAGGCGTCGGTCGATCCGAAGGCGACGCAAACATGAACCACACCGGCAAAGGAACTGTGGATAAGTGGCTTCAAATGCTCATGGAGGATCAGCAGCAGCAAGAAGATCCTGCAGCAGCATATCATTCTTCTGAAGATCACAACACTGCTGATGAAATCGCTTCAGACGAGCACCAAATGCAAAGCAGAATTGATGATGAGAGCTGCAGGAATGAGATCACCGAATGCTCCGATGAGATCGTCGAGGTCGGTGGCGATGGTGCTACTGAGCAGCAGGACAGGTGCAGGAACAGCTTTGAGATCAAGGAGAGGGGAGAGGAGAAGAAGATCTGGTTCCCAAGGTCTGACAGCTCCAGGGGTTTCAGGTCTCTGCCTTCCTCACCTTCCAAGATCCTTGGAATGAGAAGGGGTGTGGAGTGCATGAGCAGGAAGCCCAAGGTGGTCGGCGACGACAATGGCAGATACGGCTATGAAGATTCAGTGTCCACAAGCAGCAGCAAGTTCCTCACCAGGTGCAAGCAAGCCATCAAGAAAGCAGTGAACAAATAAACAATTCTTTGCACCATGATGCAGCACATTTCAACCTGTTTATTCTTCAAATCTGTGTGTTTAAATTCGTGTCAAATTGCTAGTTTTGTTTTCTGTAGCTGAATAAGTTAGTACTCAAGTGAGGCATACATAGCTTTGCAGAGTTCCTTCTGCAACTAGTGAGACAGACATTTACTGTTCATGGTCACTATTATGTGATCATACTGGCGTTGTACAACTATTTGTTGATTTATTTATGAAGAGAAACTAAATTCTTAAGTCCATTTCGTCCTCGACCAAACCAGAAATCTTATATGCTTCCCTCTCTTTTTAGAACATCACAGATTTATTTATGCACTCAAGTGAGCAGATTTATCTGAATGGTTTCACCACAAACAATAGTTCAGACAGAAAGGTAACTGACTGTAATTAAAGGTAGTAAAACAGATTAACGACCCACTTAGCCATCAGCTTTGGCTTCAGAATTTCAGATCCTCTCATGACATCGACTTGCGCCATTTCGGCGTCGGCGTCGCGGCGGCGGCGCCGGCGGCGCCGCCCCTGCCCTTCTTCCCGCTCGCCGGCGTCCGCCGCTCGATGCCGCTCTCGGAGTCCTCCACCCGCGCGACGTCGGCGCTCATGCCGCCGAACCAGAACGTGCTCCACTTGAAGAACCCGCCGCCGCCACCGCTGCCGCCTCCGCCGCGCCGCCTCCTCTCCGTGCTCAGCCTGTCCACCTGAGCCTGCAGCGCGCTGCACTGGACCTGCACGTCGCGACGAAGACGAGGACGAACACCTCAAAAAGCTTTGAATCGAATCGATGAACGGCGGCGAGCGGCGGCGGAGATGGCCGTACCTGGAGGCGGGCGAAGTCCTCGCGGAGGCGGCGGAGCTCGTGGTGCTGGGCGAGCACCTCGCGCTTGGAGGGGCAGCGGGCGCCGGGGAGGTCAAACGCCGGGCTGGGCGCGCCGAAGGAGGAGGCACCGCCGCTGAGCTCGGCGAGGCGGTTGAGCTTGCCGTGCTCGGAGAAGAGCACCTGCAGCACGGAGCGCACGGGGAGGCGGTCGTTCTGGACGGCGTGCGCCGCCGCCTCCGCCGTCAGCTTCCGCGCGTCGATCAGCCGGCACAGCGACTTCCTCTCCTCCTTGCTCGTGCTCGCGTGTGCCTGCTCACCATGAAACAGCCAAAAAAAATTAGCTCTTTCTTAAAACTAGTTGGGTGGCCCGCATAATTGCGCGGCTAGCACCCAAACAAAATCATATATTTTTCAGTATGATTTCACTTAAAATTTATTAAATAGCTATCCACGTATCATCCCCATATTTCTAATTACGTAGCTTTTAAAAGTTATACCAGCTGCTACCCGTTACTTCTGTCATATCCTTTTTTATTTGCTTGCTCGGTCTACCACTATTTCTATTTATTCTTCTTGAAACCTTTAAAAATTAGATCTTATAGTTTTTTGAGTTTATTATCTCGTTGGGTTTCGTTTTTATAATTTCTGGAAGTCCCATCAAACGCTGCCATTATACTCCTTTACGGCCCATCCACTGTCTTTTCTCTTTATTGTCATTAGAATTTTACAAATCGAACATAATTATCGTTCAAGTTTATTTTTTTACTTTCTATAAGTCCCGCCAAACCGTCAGTGGCTTTGCCATTGTACTCCTTTATGGCTCACCCGGTGTCTCCCTTCTTTATTCTCATTGAGATTTTAAAATTATACATGATTATCATTGGGTTTTTTTTTTTACTTTTTAGAAGTTCCGAACCTTTAAAAATTGGACCTTGTAGTTTTTACAATTTATTGTCTTGTTGGGTTTCATTTTTTAATTATAATTTTTAGAAGTGACGTCAAATGATGCCACTATACTCCTCTACGACCCATTCGCCGCCTACTCTTTATTGTTATTGGGATTCTGAAATTCGAACATAACTATCGTTTCAATTCATTTTTTATTTTCTAGAAGTCCCGCCAACCATCGGTGGCTCTGGAACTATAATCCTATACATCATGCCCGCTGCTTCTCTTTTTTATTGTCATTGAGATTTTGAAAATCGAATATGATTATCAATGGGGTTTTTTTTTCACTTTCTAGAAGTCCGGCAACCATCTTACACGTTTGCTTCATGGCCTGCCTATCATCCCTCCTTTTAATCATTATTAAGATTCTATTTGGTGTTTTACTAATAGTTTTTATATGTCGTATCAACCGCCACCACTCTACTCTTTTATAGGCTTGTTACTTAATTTATCTCATCGTATGTTTTATATGGTCTTTTTTTTCAATAGTCTTTATTTTTATCACCAATTTTAGTTATTTATAAATTGTATTCCTAATTGAAATATTTTTTATTTTTCTTATTTTAGAATTTATTTTTTAAAAAAATTATTTAATACCATATAGCATTCTTTTAATATTTTTATTTTTTATTTTTGAATTTTAGTTGTTTCAAAATTGTATTCTTACTTGAACTCTCTTTTAGTTTTTCTAATTTTGGATATTATTTTATTTCTTTATTCTGAATTTTAATTAATCTCGTATTGGGTTATTATATGGATCCTTCTTTTAATATTGCTTATTTTTAATTCCGAATTTCAGTTAATTTTAAATTGTATTCCTACTTGAACTCTTATTTTCTTTTTGCTAATTTCGGATTTTATTTTTATTTTTATTCCGAATATTAACTAATCTCGTATTGGGTTCTTATATGTACTCTTCTCTCAATGTTCCTTATTTTTAATTCCGAATTTCAGTTAATTTTAAATTGTATTCCTACTTGAACTTTTATTTTATTTTCTAATTTCGGATTTTATTTTATTTTTATTTCGAATTTTGATTAATTTTGTATTGGGTTCTTATATGGACACATCTTTCAATATCGCTTATTTTTAATTCCGAATTTCAGCTATTTTTGAATTGTATTTCTACTTGGACTCTCCTTTTCTTTTTCTCCGATTAATGTGAGAATTTCTAGCTTCCACAGCGAACGTGGTGCCTCCTTTCAAGACTGTTTTAATAATATAATAGATAGATTATTTTTCTTTTTTCACTAATGCGCAAAATGATTACATATCAATATAATAGAAGAAGAAGAAAAGTAAAATAGAAGAAGAAGAAAAGTAAAGTTTAATTACACAACACAAGCAGCAGAAGGCTGTTGTCAGTGGACAAGGATAGAAGAACCGAAAACAAGTAACAAACAAAAATGTTACTCCTTCCGTATTTTAATGTATGACGTCGTTGTCTTTTTTATAAACGTTTGACCTTTCGTTTTATTCAAAAAATTTATGTAATTATAATTTATTTTATTGTGACTTGATTTATCATCAAATATTCTTTAAGCAAGACATAAGTATTTTTATATTTGCATAAAAATTTTGAATAAGACGAGTGGTCAAACGTTGGTCAAAAAGTCAACAGCGTTATACATTAAAATACGGAGGGAGTACTAGCTACTAAGAGGGAAAAACTCCTATCGCTAGGGAGGTTGAGGGGTTTAAAATCCTATACTCCCAAAAGGCCCCCAAAACAAGTGGCGCCAACAGCGAACCACAAACGGCCTTTTTTTCTTTTTAAAAAATATTTTTTGCACTTGAAAAATCATTTCTCCCATGATTTCACAGCACTTTTTGCTCAACAAAGTGTAAATTTATTCTAGACAAAAAATTTTGAAGAACAGAACTGAACAAAAGATGGCATCTTGATATTTGGCATAGTGCCATTGGCATGAACTTGCATGGCCTAACTGCCTAACATATGATTGGTTTTGACATTGAGAATCTTTCATTTGCAGACAGCAGCAACAATGCTGAGTTGCTGGCATTTCTGATGAACAGGGGATCTGTAAAAGCGCAGAGAACAGCAGAAACAGAATTCCACATGATTTTTGTTTGGTGTCATTTGGATCTGAAACTCTCAGCACTGTCAAGTCCTGACATGTAGAGCCATGAAATTGAAAGATGAATCTCCTGGCTCTGTTATACAGTAGTCTGGTACGATGGTTGTTAAAGACTGTTAATAAGTACCACCTGCATGACTGTTCATGCCTGCAAGATCTCTGATACTTGCATGTTTATCTGGCAATTTCAATCATCCACACGTTTTTAGAGTACTAAGGTGTGTTTAGTTACACGTCAAAATCGGAAGTTTCATTGAAATTGAAACGATGTGACGAAAAAAAGTTGAAAGTTTGTGTGTGTAGAAAAGTTCGATGTGACATATTTGGGTTCAAACTTTGAATCTAAACCAGGCCTAGGAGTATGATCTTCTCTCTTAGTACTCTTTGGACACTCGTTTGCTCGGTTGATAAAATTGAATGAAACAACTAAAAATAATTAAGTACAAATGTGGTTTTTTTTGTTTGTTGAAACGCGCAGCTACAGTAAAACTGCTTGTTAGTCACTCGCACCAGGACAAAGCACAAGTGTTGATGAGAACAGCAGGCAGCAAGCTAAGGGACAAGAAGGATTTGATATCCACAAAGCACCTATTCCCATGTGTAAATACAGGTAAACCTTTGTTCTTTAGCAGTTTGGAGCTCACGTGATCTCTTCCCTACGCTTTGTTCTTACCCTACTTCATAGAAGTACTCCGAGTTACGATTTATTTTTTTTTCAGAAAAAAAAACTACAAGTGATTTGGCTGAACAATCTTCAGATATTAGTAACTTTATAGTTTGGACACTACAGTAAACACCAACAGAACAAACACAAAGAAGGATCTTAATGGCCTTAATGAGCTATTTTAGTTTTATATATTAGTGAAGTGGGAGAAGCAACTACTGATATCAATCATTCAGTTCACAAGCTAACAAGACAAAACAAACCCAAGGGAGAAAATAACAGGTCTTATCAGTTGTCCTGATTCTCCTCCTGTTGATATACAATATTACACAAATTTTGTTTCTTCCAAAGTTCCAAGCCTATATCTAATTGGTTTATTTTGATTGTGCACCCTACACTAAACTTTATACTTATACTTGCAAAAAACCAAAAGGATGTTTAGTGAGTAGATGACACACAAGATTCTCTTCGACAGAGAAAAGTGAGCACCCGTACTACCAAACGGAGTATGTAGAATATGCTATGCTGTTAGTGCATTGTCCGATGCAATTTCAGTGGTCAAACACAAAAACAGATGCAGTAGACGCCTCACAAATTTTCAGGCTGTCTCGTGGCGATTGACCAAAGAACAAAACTCCCCATTTGGTTCAGTACATTTATATTGAACATGCATGATGCATCCAACGTTGGCACATCGGCCAACACATTTGCATGGTTGCATACTTTGCATATGCTAGCTGCTACTAGTGCAAACCCAACACACCACTAGCTACCATGTCAGCTGGAATTTAATTTCTTGTGAAAGAAAAACAAGAATTTCACCATAACAGTCAAATCAAAATATTCTATTTTGCGAGTAAAAAAATTCAAAACCTTCTTTTTACTAAATGTTGTGCATATTAGTTACATAGTTATAAAATATTCTGAATGAAATAATTCGTGTTTGCTAAAATTATGACACCATATTTTTTACGGCTACTTTCAATATGTTTCTCTCTCCTATCCCATTTTAGTTCTAGGTAGGTTATTGTTATTGTTGTTGTTGTTGTTGTTGTTGTTGTTATTATTATTATTATTATTATTATTATTATTATTATTATTATTATTATTATTATTATTATTATTATTATTATTATTATTATTATTATTATTATTATTATATTGTACGTGTACTGCAAATTTAAATTACAGTGTAGGTTTTAAAAATGTTATAATGTAAGTATATGTAATTTACAGTGTAATAAAATTTTGACAATTTTTTCTTAAATTGTAACGCCATGAATATTAAAATGTAGCTAGCTGGTCCCAAAATAATTCACAATTGTTTTGACGATATGTAGAAGATGGTGATATCAATTTTTTGAAACCGAAAAGATTGCGACATCAAATTTGTCCATAAGGTGTAAAAAAGACCTTATCGGTATATCGAGACACAATATGCAAAGCTACATTGGTAGCTTTTTTTTTTAGTAGTAAACGGAAACGTAAAATTAGTGGAGATGGAAGGAGGAGTACGTGTGGGTGACCTTGAGGTAGGTATCGACGGCGCGGTAGAGCGCGTCGTCGGCGGGGCGCGCGTGCGCGGGCACGGCGCGCGCGAGCTCCTCGAACTCGGCCGGCCGCAGCCCGGCCTCGAGCGCCGCCTCGGCGAGGTAGGCGTCGACCAGCCTCGCCACCCTCGCGGCGGCGGCGCCTCCGCCACCGCCTGCCTTGGCGGCGCCGCCCCCGCCGGCGCCGGCGTCCTTGAGGAAGCCGCGCACCAGGCGCAGCACCAGCGGCACGTCGAGCAGCGTCCCGCACGCGTACCCGTGCCCGAACGCCGGTATCATCACGGCGCCCAGCGTCGCCTGGTCCAGCCGCCGCGCCGCCCTGGACTCCAGCTCCTGCAGCAGCGCCGCGTCGGCGCCCACCATGCTCCCCGCCCGGAGCAGCTTGAGCAGGAAGTCGCACGTGATGCCGTCGTCGGCCGCTCCTCCGCCGCCGGCGGGAGCCGGCGGGTCAGGCGGGAGCGCGGCGACGAGGGACTCCAGGAGGAGCCGCTTCTTGAGCCACGTGGCGGTGGGGCTCTCCGGGGGCAGGAACCGCCCCGACGCCGACGTCGCCGGCGACGAGGACGACGACGACGCGGCCACCACGTCGGGGAGCCACTTGGCGGCGTAGTGGGACAGCACGGACGCGAGCATGTCGGGGCGCGACGCCGCCGACGAGCCCACCAGCTGCCTAGACTTGGCGGCGGCGACGGTGCGCGCGAAGTTCTCGACGTCGTTGACGCACGAGTCGTCGCAGGTGCTCGCCACCGCCGCCGCCACGAGCCACGGCTCCGAGGAGGACCGCGTGTGCTCGGCGGTGGCGGAGGTGGCGCGCGGCGACGGCGTCCTCGGGCTCTGCCCCTGCGACGACGACGACGCCTTCATGGCCGCGCCGCGCACGAGAGCTTCAGCTCGTTCTTGGCTGGCGAGCTATGCCCACGAGAGCTGCATAATATATGTCACCCGCGTATGGATGTGAAATTGTGGATGGAAACGTGCATGTACGCGTACAAATACGCAATTTTTTTTAGATGATGACAAATACGCAATGATAAACAAGAAGCTCGTGTACAGCGCTGCATGCTTCAGTATTCATTTATTTTTGCTGGGTAAAAATGAAAATTTTGTGTGGAGGGAGCGTAGCTTAACACGTTAGGTTTTGTGGTGTAACTAGCCTATATGGATGCAAGTCTTAGGCTTGATGGTATTCGCATTTACGGCAAATTATTCTTTAAGAGATAGCCAACGTAACCTATACCCCTTGACAGCAACCCGGTACTCGTATTTACGACTAGTTATTCTTTGAGTGATAGATGACATACCCTGTACCTCTCGACGACAACAGGCTCAATCTTCTGAAGATACTCATTAAAGGTAGGATGAGTGTGCGCGCATTATACGTCTGCTTGTTTTTTTTTAGGAAAAATGAAAATCTTGTGATTAATTATGCTGCGTGTACAACTAGGCAACTATCTAGTAGCTACTACTACTGTTCATTGTATGGGTGCGGAGTGTACGTGCATTATGAATGCCTACTTATTTTCCATGATAAAATGAAAATTTTGTGATTAATTATACTTTGTGTACGACTAGGCAACTGGAGTATATAGCTGCTGCTACTACTACTGTTCATTGTATGTGGATGTAGTACACTCCTGTACAATGTGTAATGCAGGGAAACTGACAAACAAATCCGTCCGCAGTGTGCCACCTGGCATCAACTAGCTAGCATTTGATTAAATCAAGGTGCTACCTAAGCAACGTAGGTATGTATACTCCTGTTCATCTATATATGGTTGTACATGGTGTCATGCATATATGTTGTATGTGTATTTACCTTGACTTTGCAAAAGCTTAATTGATAAACCAAGTGAGCGGAAATATCCTTTCGACTAAGAATAGGTGACTTTGACCATTACTACATCAGTTTCATATAATAAGGTTTTTAAATAAGTTTTTCCTAAGTCAGCTTTTTAAAGTATGATTAAATTTACAAAAAATCTAAGCATTATTTCCGACACTAAACAAATATACTATCAAAATGTATTTGATAATGAATTCAATAAAATGTAGTACTACGTTTTTATGGGACCAAAGCCCATATGGTCGAATGGACCACGAGCATCGTTGGCCATATACAGTGCATTGCATACCAACTTTACTTTTTTCTTTTTAGAACTATACCTATATACATGTGTGCGCATTATATCCGTACAAGTGCAACGCAAGTTAAGCTTGCCTATGTAGCACGAACGTTGTTAAAAGTTTCTCTAGCCATCAATAGGTTATTATTAGTCCTTTTTGCTGAGATGTACTAGTAGTAGCATCTAGGTTAGTCATTGTAATTCAGTTTATAGCTCACGTGAAGAGGTTACAAAAATTGCTGTCATGTCATGTCTTCAACGAACCCAAAGTTAGCCTCATCATTATTTCAAGTGCACATTTTTTCCTTAAATTGAGCCCAGGTTTAGTTCGTGTGCCAATTTTTTTAAAATATACAGACACACATTTAAAGTATTAAACGTAGACTAATAATAAAACAAATTACAAAGACTGCCTGTAAACCGCGAGACAAATTTGTTAAGCCTAATTAATCTATCATTAACAAATATTTACTGTAGCACTACATTGTTAAATAATAGCGTAATTAGACCCAAAAGATTCGTCTTACAATTTACATGCAAACTATGCAATTGGTTTTTCTTTTTATCCACATTTAATGCTCCATATATGTGTCTAAATATTTGATGTGACGGAATTTTCGAAAGTTTGAAGGAAACTAAACACTGCCCGAGACTCTTACCATTTTTCATGGATATAAATATGAGTACAACATCATATCCTCTTCCTTTGCACTCGATCTCGATCAATAGAATGAATAGGCACGTTTTTCAAGCTCCTAAACATACTTTTTCTAGAAGCATATATTTTCAATTTTATTAGTATATTTAATTCATTTATATGTATAAAAAAGGACGGAAAACGTGACGATGATGACATGATTCAAATTTCAAAAAATATTGATGGCACCCAATCGATATCATGAACAGTGGTGATATTTTTTAATTAGGTAAAGTTGTAATGACATGGATTCAATTATCGCAAGAAACAAACGCTGGCTTTTATTCTAAAGATGTGAAGATACAATCCGAAGCACCATATTACCATGTTTTCTAAGAAAATAAGCAAGGGCTCTACCTGAATTAGACGAAGATGGAAAAAGGGATGAAAACAACCAACTTTGCCTGCAAAACGGCAAAGAGATTAACAAAGAGAAAAAAAAACAGAAGACCTTTGTTCTTTTATGAGAACTCAAAACAGAATGCAATTAATATCCGTGTACCATATATTGTTTACATTCCAGAGCAATTAACGAGGACTCCAAACAAACATGGCGTAAAGGTGACAAACAAAATTCTCTCTATTATCTGAAAAGAAAAATCTCTCTGCACCTCCGGGTCCTATTCGTGCGTATACGTACAATAATACATGTGCGTACATATGTACGGTGACATCGACGTTGCTAGATACAACAAAAATCCTTCATTATACCTGTACATCTGTACATGTACGTATACCCGTCGTATACTAGTACAAATTGAATAATAACCGTATAATAATAAAAATATTTTTCATTATTTTACCTGATGCTTTACCGTGCCTTTGGCTTCAGAAAAAAAAAGAAAAAAAAACACCGAGCGACTAAGAGAAGGCGAAGCACTCGCCGCCGGCCCGCTGTCTCGCCGCGGAAATTTCGTCTTCCCCGGGATTCCGCGGGGAGGCGGCGCGGTAACCGCCGGCGGTTATTCCGTCAATAGAATGGCGGGGACCGCGTGGGGGAGGCCTGAGGAGAGGAGGTGAGGCGGATGGTCCGCGCCCTGTCACGTGCCCGCAGCCTGCTCGACGGAATTCCCCACCGGCGGGGGCGTGCTGCGAGTTCGTCCGTGTCCGGCCATGGCGCGGAGGAGGCTGTTGCGGGATACGTCCGCATGCTGGCTGGCGGGGCCAGGCCCGACGCGTACACGTTCCCGTCCTTGCTCAAGGCGGCGGCGGCGGCGCGGGGCGCGGCCGTGGCGGCGGCATCAGTTGGCGGTGCCATCCACGCGCACGTGGTTAAGTTCGGGATGGAGTCGAACGCTCACGCGGCGAGCTCCCTGATCGTCATGTACGCGGCCAGGGGAGACGGCGCCGCGGCGCGCGCGGTGCTGGAGGCGGCGTGCCTCGCCACGGGAGGGGGAGCGCCGGTCATGTGGAACGCGCTCATCTCTGGCCATAACAGGAGCGGGCGGTTCGAGCTGTCCTGCTGCTCCTTCGTGGACATGGTCAGAGCCAGCGCCATGGCCACCGCGGTCACCTACGTCTCGGTGCTCTCGGCTTGCGGGAAAGGGAAGGACCTGCTGCTGGGGATGCAGGTGCACAAGCGCGTCCTCGAGAGCGGGGTGTTGCCTGATCAGAGGGTGGAGAACGCTCTGGTTGATATGTACGCCGAGTGCGGCGACATGGACGCGGCCTGGGTGTTGTTCGAGGGCATGCAGATGAGGAGCATGGCGTCCTGGACGTCGGTAATTTCTGGCCTTGTGAGGTCAGGCCAGGTTGATCGTGCCAGGGACCTGTTTGATCATATGCCTGAAAGAGACACCATCGCATGGACCGCGATGATCGATGGCTATGTACAGGTTGGCAGGTTCAGGGACGCATTGGAGACATTCCGTTACATGCAGATTTGCAAGGTGAGAGCAGATGAGTTCACCATGGTCAGTGTGGTCACTGCCTGTGCCCAGCTAGGTGCTCTGGAGACAGGGGAATGGGCAAGGATTTACATGGGAAGACTTGGGATCAAGATGGATGTTTTTGTCGGGAATGCACTCATAGACATGTACTCAAAGTGTGGGAGCATTGAGCGCGCATTGGATGTATTCAAAGATATGCACAACAGAGATAAGTTTACCTGGACTGCCATTATACTTGGTCTCGCAGTGAATGGCCGTGGGGAGGAGGCTATTGACATGTTCTATAGAATGCTCAGGGCTTTACAAACTCCAGATGAGGTGACCTTCGTTGGTGTTCTCACTGCCTGCACTCATGCTGGCTTGGTTGACAAAGGCCGAGAGTTCTTCCTCAGCATGACAGAGGCATATAATATTTCCCCTACTGTGGTGCATTACGGATGCTTAATCGATGTCTTAGGCCGAGCTGGGAAATTAAAGGAAGCATTGGATACAATAGACAAAATGCCCATGAAGCCCAACTCCACTATTTGGGGAACCCTGCTGGCATCCTGTAGGGTTTATGGTAATTCAGAAATAGGTGAATTGGCAGCGGAGCGTCTCCTTGAGTTGGATCCAGATAACAGCACAGCGTACATCTTGTTGTCAAACATGTATGCAAAATCTAATAGATGGAAAGATGTCCGACGGATTAGGCAGATAATAATGGAGAAAGGAATCAAGAAAGAACCTGGTTGCAGTATGATTGAAATGAATGGCATAATTCACGAATTTGTAGCCGCTGATAGGTCTCATCCTATGAATAAAGAAATCTACTCAAAGTTGGAAAATGTGCTAACTGATTTGAGGAATGCTGGATATGTGCCTGATGTAACTGAGGTCCTTGTTGAAGTCACGGAAGAGGAAAAGCAGAAGGTTCTTTACTGGCACAGTGAGAAGTTGGCAGTCACTTTTGCTTTACTCACTTCAGAATCTAATGTTATCATAAGAATTGTGAAAAACTTGAGGATGTGTTTGGACTGCCACAACGCAATAAAATTGATATCGAAATTGTATGGAAGAGAGGTCATTGTGAGGGATAGGACACGCTTCCATCATTTTAGACATGGATCCTGTTCATGCAAAGACTATTGGTAAGTGGTAGCACATTAATACATTATATATGAATCATACGGACAACTGAACATCTGTAAGCAAGTGAAAACCCAAATGACCAACAAGCATTTCAGTTGAAATGTGGCAGTGACTGCAAATTTTTAGTCCAGGGAATGAAGTTAATAATGAGAGAATATTCTTAATCCAGCTTAGCCTATACATGTTGTGCTCTCCTTAAGGCACTATAATATCTTGGTGTAAACCTCTCTGTCGCTGATGGTTGTACTGGCAAAGTTCTTATTGAAAGGAAGGTAACCTTACATGTTCTCTTTTATGTCATGCTGAAATCTGTTTTCCTTTTTCTGGTTAGAGAGTATTAAGTTTTTCCTGATTTCTCAATAAGTTGTTCCTTAATTTAGACTATTCTGTTAAGGAGGTTTTCTCATTCAGATTCTTATGAGCTAAAAATCGAAATATGATATGTATGGAATTTATTTATTTTTAAAACAAATCCTTTTACTAACATGCTGTACATGATTCACTATGCGACTTGCCAAGATATCTTACACTTGGAGCTTTTCCAGCTTTGCAGAGATTTTCATGTAAGAATTTCTTGCAGTAATGTTAAATTTATCTTGTGGTCTGGAGCTAATCTGGTGCGCCGTTATGCTATTAAGCAAAGGAGGATGTCTGATGGAGCCTTACTGTTTCATTCATAGAAAAACCAGGTATGCTTTATTTTCTCCAGTCTGCAGCTTTCATATATTTGATTCCATTTGCTAGGCTGCTATTTGAAATTGTAATGACCCAAAACATGCATTTGACTTGCTTGGTAAAGCTTTAAAGAACTTAAAAACAGTCTATTTCTGTTTATCTGCTTTAACATATGGAGGTTTGTAAGGGATGCATGATCTTATGAAGCAGCCACAGTTGCTAGATAATATACAATATTTTCAGAAAAGTTAAAGAAGTATATAATTGGCAAAGTATTGTTTTCATAAATTTACACCAGTCCTCTATGCTCGTAAGATGTACCAGTCGTACACCCAAATTACTTGGAGATTAGACTTTGAGAGCATTTTGGCCTAGGGTGTTGCACAAACGCTATTTTATTTAATTTTTACTCCTTCTCTAAAATGTATCAACTCTGCTGAGAAACTGAGCAACTGATGCAATTTAGACCAGGTTTATTTTAAACCATAGAATCATACCACACAACATACTGGTCATTTGTAAAACACAATCCTTTATAGTTAGAGGGATGAAATTCAGGCCAAATCCATAGTTGAATAACCAAATGTGGACATCTTCCATACTTTATGAAGATATAAGTATGATAGGTCCTCCACTTCATGCTCATCATGATTAAAAAAAATGCTTATTCCCATCTGTATCAACCAGATGCATTTTGCTTGTTTCCCATTTCTTGAATCAATAGGCTTATGTTATCATAGGAAGAACCTCCCTCTTCCAAAGCCCTCCTTGCCTTTACACCCAAGTCTTTTGCTCTCATCCTCATCTCCTGTGCAGCTTCTCCATCATTCATCAATGTGGACACTGCTGTCTCCACAGCATTCCTTGTCACCCTAACTTCTTTATGTTCACTTCCCCATTGTGCCACTCCTTTCACTCCAATCTCCAGCCCAATTTTCAGCAGATTCACCACAAATTTCTCATTCAAAAACTGCTCTGCGAAATGTGGCCATGTGATCATGGGCACGCCCGCGCAAATGCCCTCTATTGTTGAGTTCCACCCACAGTGTGTCATGAACCCTCCAATGGCCTGGTGCCATAGGATCATCACCTGTGGTGCCCAGCCCCTTATTATCATGCCTCTGTCTTTAACGCGTTCCTCGAACCCATCTGCAAGCCATTCCTCAACTTCTGGAAACTTATTTCCTGCTTTGATCACCCAGATGAAAGGCTCCTTGGAAGCTTCAAGCCCCAGTCCCAGCTCAACAAGCTGCTGAGGTGCGGTGCTGGCGAGGCTGCCAAAGCTGACAAAGATCACTGAACCAGGCTTCTTTGAATCAAGCCATTGCAAGCACTTTGCCTCATCCACTGATGCCTTGTTTCCTCTAGCAGCCATCATGTTGCTGTCTCTGTCACAGAGGCACATTGGGCCGATTGTCCAGACCTTCTTACCTGTTATCTGTTCAAAGGACTCGATGTACAGAGTCTCCAGCTCCTGGAAGCTGTTCATTACATTGCCATCGCTTTGCAGCTCCTCCTCATACATCTTATCACGAATTTGTTCCATACCTGGAACACACAAGCTTCCAGGGCATCTAGCCTTTGGCAACTCAAGCAGCATAGGGAACCCTGAGAAAGTGACGATCTCCTCATCTGCGACATTGTCCAACAGTTTGTCGCGGAAAATGATATACCTGCAAGGTAGTATCGTACTTCAGTTACATCTAACTGGTACTTCTTATGCTACCTGAAAATTCTCTCCGGTTCAAGTGCATGCTCTTCATATTGAGAATACTTTATTGACACAAGATTAACTCATTCGAAAGCTAGTTGCCTCACAAAACTTGCTTTTTCTATGATTTTTACCTGGCAAGGGAGGCGAAGGTACAGAAGCCATCAAATGTTAGCCTTGGGATACCGAGCTCCCTTGCAATTTCACCGGTCCACCACTGCACCATGTCAGATATGATGCAGCTTGGAGGTGGGCATAGCTGACGGAGCCTCGCCGTGAGCGGCTCCCGGAGCGCTCCGCAGGCCTCCATGAAGTTTCGGCTGAGATCCCTGGACTGGATCATATCCAGGTTTTCGCACCCGTCCGGCAACCCAAACTCGGTGGCCGGGAAGGGGAGCTTCACCAGCTGCACTGCCAGGCCAGCCGCCTCCACAGCGGTGACGAATCCTGCCATCCTGGCGGCGTTCACCGGAGTGGTGACAAAGCTGACCTGCGCGCCATGCTCGGCCAGCAGGCGGGCCATGCCGGTCATGGGGATCATGTGTCCCTGCGCCATCATCGGGACCAGCACGAAGTGCGCCTTCATCGTGGTGGATTTGCGCTGCTGGTCGACGGCGTGGCCGGCGGAGGACATGGCTGTGGTTGTATCTAGTCAAGCGGAGGTATGCAATAACTCTGGAGAAGTCGTATGCTGTTTGAGTTGATGACTGCAAGCAGTCTGAGGGCAAGTTTTATATTGGAGGTGACTATCGCATCTAATTTTATACATAACATAGATAATTAAATTAAGAGGTGATATGTATAATAGGTCATCTCTACCACACAATCCCTAATATTTCTAACACTCTCACATGTTTATTAAAGTTTGTGTAGGGGCTGCCCCTTGCATGAGAGGTGACTATTTCTCTCTCATCCTTCTTCTCTCCTCCACCTCACAATTTAGTCCTATGTGACATCTTGGGGCTTGTGCTTGGATGCTCATAGTACTTGCTTTGAGGTGCTACGGAGTAGTGCCTGATGCTTCGGATCTCGGAGTCGGAGGAAAGTGGAATGTTGCCGATTAATCAAATAATTGCAGCTTCTTTCAAAAAAAGAATTAAATAATTGCAGAGCAGCTTGTCCTCCTATCAAATCAGCCAGTTTGAGCTCATGCTGAAAAGGATAACAGCATCGCTGAACTTTGGCAACTTTGGTGTGCATGTTATAGTTATGGACTCATAGCCAAAGTCCTCGAGTTTATTCCATTCTTTGAGCCGTCCGGACAACGCGGTTGGTCAGGTTAACCACGGTTGCTATACATACTCATACTCCCTGTCCTCTGCAGTCTCACTATTCAGTATTTTTTTTCTTTCGAAGTCTACGGCATAACTTGACCACTATTCCTAATTTTTATCTTCATATATTCAGAAGTAACTAGGAAACTTGGGCAAGAGTGTCAGAAACAGAAAGTGATATAATTTAATAATCCAGACTGTAAACAATCATGCCACAAACGAGCCTCATACAATAATACTGATCATTTGTAAAATACTCCCTCTTTGCATCTGCAGGGATCCTGGAAATCCCCTCCACTACAGGAGCTGGTGGACTGCCAGGCTGCAAATGTAAGCCATTTTATGCTTCACGATTCTTTCTCAATATCAAGTCATTTTAGAATACAGAAGTTTTTACTATTCTTCCAGATTTTCCATACTAAATAAATGTTATCCTTCTAATAAATAAATCATATTTATGCACAAGTCTTTACACGGCTTGTATTTGGAATTGAAGGGAGCACAATTCTTAGGGATGAAAATCCGGGCAAGACCATAGTTAAAGGGCCAAATATGGACTCCTCCCATCCTTACAAGTATATAGGTACGATAGTATCCTCCAATTCATTCTTTCAGATCTAGAATTTTAATAAAAAAAGCTTATTCCCATATATATGTATCAACCAGATGCATTTTGCTCGTTTCCCATTTCTTGAATCAATAACCTTATGTTGTTATATGAAGAACCTCCCTCTTCCAAAGCCCTCCTTGCCTTTATGCCAAAATCTTTTGCTCTCATTCTCATCCCCTGTGCAGCCTCCCCCTCATTCATCAATGTGGACACTGCTGTCTCCACAGAATTCCTTGTCACCTGAGCCTCTTTTTGTTCACTTCCCCACTGTGTCACTCCTTTCACTCCAACCTCCATCCCAATTTTCAGGTGATCCACTACCAGTTTTTCATTCAAGAATTGCTCTGCAAAGTGTGGCCATGTGATCATAGGCACACCCGCGCAGATGCCCTCTATTGTCGAGTTCCACCCACAATGTGTCATGAACCCTCCAATGGCCTGGTGCCACAGGATCATCATCTGTGGTGCCCAACCTCTTATGATCATCCCTCTGTCTATGACACGTTCCTCGAATCCATCTGCAAGCCATTTCTCGACTACTGGAAACTTATTTCCTGCTTTGATCACCCATATGAACGGTTTGTTGGAAGCTTCAAGCCCCAGTCCCAGCTCAACAAGCTGCTGAGGCGCGGTGCTGACAAGGGTGCCAAAACTGACAAAGATCACGGAACCTGGCTTCTTTGAATCGAGCCATTGCAAACATTTTACTTCATCCAATGACGCCTTGTTTCCTCTAGCAGCCATTGTGTTTCTGTCTCTGTGACACAGGCACATTGGGCCGATCGTCCAGACCTTATCTGTCACCTGCTTATAGGACTCCATGTACAAAGTCTCCAGCTCGTCGAAGCTGTTCATGACCTTGCCGTCGCTTCGCATCTCCTCATCATAGATCTTCTCACGGATTTCCTCCAGACCTGGAACGCACAAGCTTCCAGGCAATCTAGCTTTTGGCAACTCTAGCGGCGTAGGGAACCCTGAGAGCTTAACGACCTCCTCCTCATCAGTGAGGTCCCGCAATAGATTGTTACGGTAAACAATGTCCCTTCAAGATAGCAGTCTTAGCTCTTAAAACACATCCAACCGGCAGTTCTTAAGATACCATGAAAAGTTTTTCTATTTTCTGAAATGAGTTAGTAGTGCTGCCAACCAATTGCCAACCTGACCTGAAGTATTTTTTAGATAAAAGGCTTAATGTGTGGTTTTGATTAAAATCCTTTAACCAATATCATTCTCATGTCTTGCCTCGTCTATTGATCAATTCTAACTATTTGTTGTTCTTGTAGAGATAAATATGCCAGTGGCCTGTGATTTTTACCTGGCGAGGGAGGCAAAGGTACAGAAGCCACTAAAGGTAAGCCAGGGGATACCGAGCTCCCTGGCGATGTCACTGGTCCACCAGTGCATCATGTCGGATACGATGCAGCTCGGCGGCAGGTCGTGCTGCCGGAGCCTCGCCATGAGTGGCTCCCGGAGCGCGCCACAGGCCTCGAGGAATTTCCTCATGTCGTCTTTGCACTGGAGCATGTCAATGTTCTCGCACCCGTCTGGCAGGCCGAAATCAGCAGCCGGGAAGGGGAGCTCCAGCAGCTGCACTGGCAGGCCAGCCTCCTCCACGGCGGCGACGAACCCCGCCATCCTGCCGGCGTTGACCGGAGTGGTGACGAGGCTGATCTGAGCGCCGTGCTCGGCCAGCAGGCGGGCCATGTCGGTCATGGGGATGGTGTGCCCCTGCGCCATCATCGGGACCAGCACGAAGTGCACCGTCCTGGAGCAGCACCTGTGCTGCTGGTCGCCGGCGCCGGCGCCGGCGTGGCTGGCAAAAGACATGGCTGTGTGGTTGTATCTAGTCAAGCGGCCAAGACAAGCGTGGACAGTGAGAGTGTGACAAGAACAGTTGGAGCCTTGGAGGTATGCATTAACCGAGAAGTCGTGTGCTGCTTGCCTGCTCGAGTTGATGAGAAGCTTGACACTTGACAGCAACCGAGGAGTGCATATGTGGTGCCTGCCACTTCGGATCAGAGGAAAGTGACGGGTTGAAAGTATTGCAGCGCCAACAGTTTGTACTACTATCAACTCGGCCAGTTCGAGCTCGTGCTGAAAAAGAACAGTATTGCTAGACTTTGGCAACTTCAGTTTCAGTGACGCATGCTAGTCATGGACTCGTGGCTAGATCCCTCGTACATGAAGCTTCTTCCATTCTTTATGCAACCACAGAGGCCACAGTTGCTATCAATACAGTACGTACTTAAAATCGAAAGATACTCCCTGGCCTCTGCATTATCTGGTACAAGGAAATTCCTTTTGTGATCTTTATAAGTCTATGCCTGACTTTGACCACAAAATTTGCATTCATATATTCAGAGGAATCGAAGCAGCAATTACGAAAGTGATGTAAGACCAGGTCTAATCCACTCTATACACTGATCATTTGTAGAATACTCTTCTCATCCGCAAGGGGTCCTGGGAACCTCGTCCACTGCAGAAGCTGGTGGGACTGTTGGGCTCCAAATGTAAGTCATTTGAGTCTTTCTCAATTCTTACCCAAATATATATCGTTTCAGAGCTTCTTAGCAATTTTTTTTTACTATTGTTCAATGTTTGTGGTTGCTAAATAAATGCTATATCCCTCTTAAAAATAAATAATTTATCTTTCTTGATATAGTATACTGTAGATGAAGGGCAACAAATTCATTAGAGTTGTTTTTATTAATTCTTATACAAATTGCACAAGTATAAAAAGATTTATATTTGGAATCAGAGGGAGAGTACAGTTCTTTATAGTTTGAGGGATGAAAATCAGGGTAAGCACAATAGGATCCTCCAGTTCTTGCTTACAGATTTACAATTAAGAAAAAATAAAGCTTATTTCCATATGTATCAACCAGATGCATTTTGCTTGTTTCCCATTTCTTGAATTAATAGTTTTATGTTGTTATAGGAAGAACCTCCCTCTTCCAAAGCCCTTCTTGCCTTCATGCCAAAATCTTTTGCTCTCATCCTAATCTCCTGTGCAACTTCCCCTTCATCCATCAACATGGATACCGCTGTCTCCACAGCAGTCCTTGTCACCTTAACCTCTTTTTGTTCAGTTCCCCACTGTGTCACTCCTTTCACTCCAACCTCCACCCCAATTTTCAGGTGATCCACCACCAATTTCTCATTCACAAACTGCTCTGAACAGTGTGGCCATGTGATCATCGGCACACCCGCGGAGATGCCCTCTAGTGTCGAGTTCCACCCGCAGTGCGTCATGAACCCTCCAATGGCCTGGTGCCACAGGATCATCATCTGTGGCGCCCAGCCCCTTATGATCATGCCTCTGTCTTTGACGCGCTCCTCGAACCCATCTGCAAGCCATTCCTCGACTTCTGGAAACTTTTTTCCTGCTTTGATCACCCAGATGAATGGTTTCTTGGAAGCTTCAAGTCCCAGCCCCAGCTCAACAAGCTGCTGAGGGTCGGTGCTGGAGAGGCTGCCAAAGCTGACAAAGATCACTGAACCAGGCTTCTTTGAATCAAGCCATTGCAAACATTTCGCATCATCCATTGACGCCTTGTTTCCTCTAGCAGCCATGGCGTTGCTGTCTCTGTGACAAAGGCACATTGGGCCGATCGTCCAGATCTTCTTACCTATGGTTCGCTCAAACGACTCGATGTACAGAGATTCCATCTCCTGGAAGCTATTCATGATCCTGCCATCGCTTCGCGTCTCAGCCTCGTAAATCTTGTCACTTATTTGCTTCAGACCTGGAACGCACAGTGTTCCAGGGCATCTAGCTTTTGGCAACTCTAGCGGCGTAGGGAACCCTGAGACTTTGACGATCTCATCATCCGTGAGGTTCTCCAATAGATTTTTGCGATAAATGATGTCCCTGCGAGATAGTTGGAAACTTGGACCAAGTTCTTAGGATGTGTTTAGTTCAGCGCAAAGTTTGTATTTTGGTTGAAATTGAAGGTGATGTGACTGAAAAGTTGTGTGTGTATGACAGGTTGATGTAATGGAAAAGAACTAAAGTTTGGATCCAAACTTTGGATCTAAACACAACCTTAGGTCACATCCAAACTGTGAGTTCTTAGATCACATACCTGATAAGTATCTCCTTCTACTATCTCTATCCCAGAATATAAGCATTTTTAGCTATAAATCTGGACACGACGGAGGGAGTAAGTATTCTCTGTTCATATGGAAAGTAGATTTTTGTCCCTCGAGGAGATATCCCCTCGTTTTTTACATGTCGTTTAAAAAGTTATAAAAAAATTTATCAAGATAGATCAATATATAAATATATCTTTTCGCAAACATGCGAGTTAAAATTCAACTTATACAATTCGAAACAAAAATAACAAATTTGACCGTGAATTGCGCGTCCTATTCATAGTCAAATTTATTATTTTTATTTCCACTTGTATAGGTTGAATTTGAATTTGCATGCTCGTGAAGTTACATATCACATATTGATCTATCCTACCAAACTTTTTTTAAAATATTTTGATGACTTTTTAAGTGACATGTAAAAATGACGGGATACCCTTATTCATATGCAGAGAAATATGCCAGTGGCTTTTGCTACGATTTTTACCTGGCAAAGGAGGAGAAGGTGCAGGAGCCGTTGAACGTGAGCCATGGGACGCCGAGCTCCCTGGCGATGTCACCGGCCCACGAGTGTATCATGTCGGAGATGATGCAGCTCGCCGGCGGCCGTTGCTGCCGGAGCCTCGCCGCGAACGGCTCCCGGAGCGCGCCGCAGGCCAAGAGGAAGTTGCTGAAGAGGTCTTTGGACGGGAGCATGTCGACGTTCTCGCAGCCGTCCGGCAGGCCGAACTCGGCGGCCGGGAAGGGGAGCTCCACCAGCTGCACCGGCAGGCCGGCCTCCTCCACGCCGGCGGCGAACCCGGCCATCCTGGCGGCGTTGACCGGCGTGACGACGAGGCTGACCCGCGCCGCGCCGTGCTCGGCCAGCAGGCGCGCCATGTCGGTCATGGGGATGGCGTGGCCCTGCGCCATCATCGGGACCAGCACGAAGTGCGCCGCCGCCGTCGTCGTGTAGCCGCCGGAGGCGTGGCCGGCGGTGTCGTCGTCCATGGCTGTGGTTTGTTGCTAGTGAATTGTGGCGAAGTTGTTTTATGGCGTTTGAGTCAATGAGCTTCGGATCAAAGGAGAGTGACGTGTGGACGATTAAACAATCGGAGGGCCGGTTTGCTTGTATCAACTTGCCGGATGGAGCGATCATGCCGGAGAAGAAAATAGCAAAATAAACTTTCAACTTGGAGTGACGCATGTTCACTCGTCATCTATGGACTCCTGACCTCGTGAATGGGAGTGTAGTGTGTAGTAATGGAAGTTCTAGAAGAACTATGGATACTATCCATTCGAAATTGGTCAGAGGAAATTCCAAAAGAAGGTAGGAGTATGAGATATTCCTCTATTGTCTCTCTCAATGAACAGCTTGAAAATACTTCCAAGCAGGATTTATAAAACTGACGGTAACTGTGCTTATTGCTAGGGTACCAAAAATAAAATTAAATAGATTCAAAAAATAGTCTGAAATTTTGATAAATTTTGTATGGCTTCTATGGTTTGTTGTGGTTACCGCAATTGCCGCATGGCAACTGTGCAATAAACCCATCGATAAGGGTAACCTTGGTTTCATGTGATTTGAAGTGCTAACATTTAAACTCATTATGGCTGTGTTTAATTCGTGTGCTAAATTTTTTTTAATTATATGGATACACATTTGAAGTATTAAACGTAGACTAATAACAAAACAAATTACAGATTCTGCCTGTAAACTGCGAGATGAATCTATTAAACCTAATTAATCCGTCACTAGTAGAGTAAATGTTTACTGTAGCACCACATTGTCAAATCATGGTGTAATTAGGCTCAAAAGATTCGTCTTGCGATTTACATGCAAACTGTGTAATTGGTTTTTTTTCGTCCACATTTAATGCTCCATGCATATGTCTAAACATTTGATGTGACGGAAAAGTTGGAGGTTTGAATCTAAACACGGCCTATATAAGAAAGCCAAGCAGATGGCTATTGCCCTCTTTGTTTAGGCTTAGGCTTATTGGCCTAGACTTTTAAGTCAGCTTATTGGCTTATATGATTTATAAGCCAGTGGATTTAATGTCCTAAGTTTAGTAGTGGAGTCATACATCTATCTCATTTAAGCCAAAAAAGCTTCTCCAACCTAGCTTTTGGCTTAATAGTGTTAGAATAGCTTATGGCTTCAAAAAAGCCAAATGAAAAAGCTACTTGTTTGTTTTGGCTTAGACTTTTCAACTTATAAGTTGGCTTATAAGCCTAAACAAAGAGGGCAATATATATGCCTTCAGGCCAGTACGCAGAATCTTATCTTTGGCCTGGTTTAGTTCCCAATTTTTTTCTTCAAACTTCCAACTTTTCCAACACATCAAAACTTTCTTACACACAAACTTCCAACTTTTCCGTCACATCGTTCCAATTTCAATCAAAATTTCAATTTTAGCGTGAACTAAACACACCTTGTTTTTGTTAACACACTTTTCAAACAACTAAACAGTACGTTTCGTGTGAAAACTTTCTGTATAAAAACTGCTCTAAAATATCAAAGAAATCCTTGTTTAAATTTGAAATAATTAAAACTCAATTAATTACCTTCTTGTTTGTTGCATTTAAAAAAAACTTTCTTGTTGAAATTGGACTTGGGAGCCACGAGTCCACGTGACAGAGGCAGCTGTGAAGACTACGAGGCGGGCGACGACGAAGCTTCGCTAGGCGCATACGTCATCACCCCTCCCTCCCGACTTTTCCAGGAGGCTTCTGCCGCCGCGGCGCGGCGCCTCGACACAGGCGTCGTCCTCGTCGCGTCGACTTGTATACGCACACTGCAACTTGCTTGCTTCCTCACACTCATCGGCGGCGGGATGGCGGCGGAGCTCCATTTCTTGGTGGTGCCGCTGATAGCGCAGGGCCACATCATCCCCATGGTGGAGGTGGCGCGCCTCCTCGCCGCCCGCGGCGCGCGCGCCACCGTCGTCACCACGCCCGTCAACGCCGCGCGCAACGGGGCCGCCGTGGAGGCCGCCCGCCGCGACGGCCTCGCCGTCGACCTCGCCGAGGTCGCCTTCCCCGGCCCGGAGTTCGGCGTGCCGGAGGGGCTGGAGAACATGGACCAGCTGGCGGACGCCGACCCCGGCATGTACCTGTCCCTGCAGAGGGCCATCTGGGCCATGGCGGCGCGGCTCGAGCGGCTCGTCCGGGCGCTGCCTCGCCGCCCGGACTGCCTCGTCGCCGACTACTGCAACCCGTGGACGGCGCCCGTCTGCGACCGCCTCGGCATCGCTCGCGTCGTCATGCACTGCCCGTCGGCGTACTTCCTCCTCGCCACCCACAACCTGAGCAAGCACGGCGTGTACGGCCGCCTCGCGCTCGCCGCCGGTGACGGCGAGCTGGAGCCGTTCGAGGTGCCGGACTTCCCGGTGCGTGCCGTCGTCTACACGGCCACGTTCCGCCGCTTCTTCCAGTGGCCTGGCCTGGAGGAGGAGGAGCGCGACGCGGTCGAGGCCGAGCGCACCGCCGATGGCTTCGTCATCAACACGTTCCGCGACATCGAGGGCGCCTTCGTCGACGGCTACGCGGCGGCGCTCGGCCGGAGGGCGTGGGCCATCGGGCCGACGTGCGCCGCCGCCGCCGCCAGCACGGACGCCGACGCGAGGGCCAACCGGGGCAACCGCGCCGACGTCGACGCCGGGCGTATCCTCTCCTGGCTCGACGCATGACCGCCGGCGTCCGTGCTGTACATCAGCTTCGGCAGCATCTCGCACCTGGCGGCGAAGCAGGTCATCGAGCTCGCCCGCGGCGTCGAGGCGTCGGGGCGGCCGTTCGTCTGGACCATCAAGGAGGCCAAGGCCGCCGCCGCCGCCGTGAGGGAGTGGCTCGACGGCGAGGGATACGAGGAGCGCGTCAAGGACAGGGGCGTCCTGGTGCGCGGGTGGGCGCCGCAGGTGAGCATCCTCTCGCACCCGGCCACCGGCGGGTTCCTGACCCACTGCGGGTGGAACGCCGCGCTGGAGGCCATCGCCCGCGGCGTGCCGGCGCTGACATGGCCGACCATCCTCGACCAGTTCAGCAGCGAGCGGCTGCTCGTCGACGTGCTCGGCGTCGGCGTCCGGTCGGGCGTCACGGCGCCGCCCATGTACCTCCCCGCCGAGGCCGAGGGCGTGCAGGTCACCGGCGCCGGCGTGGAGAAGGCGGTGGCCGAGCTGATGGACGGCGGCGCGGACGGCGTGGCGAGGAGGGCGCGCGCCAGGGAGCTCGCCGCGACGGCGAGGGCGGCGGTGGAGGAAGGCGGGTCGTCGCACGCCGACCTGACGGACATGATCCGCCACGTGGGGGGTGGCTACTGCGCGCATACGCGCCAGCTAAATTGCTGGCGCGCACGCCAGCTGCCCCACCCTATAGCTCCCTTGTCTTTTTTTTTTGCACTTTTTTTTTTCCGATTTTGGTGCTTACGGGTGCCTTTTTCTTTATCTTTTTCGGTGTTTCTTTTCCGATTTTTTTAATCTTTGGCATATCTCTTTACAAATATAGAATTGAAAGTTTTTAATTTTGATTTGAAAGTTATCAAATTTGAATTGAAAGTTTTTAAATTTTAAGTTGAAAGTTTTCTAATTTGACTTGAAATTTCAAATTTAAGTTGAAAGTTTTAAATTTGAGTTGAAAGTCTTCAAATCTGAGTTGAAAGTTTTTGAAATTTCGGTCAAAAGATTTGAATATTCGAGTTAAAAGTTTTTAAAATTTAGGTCGAAAGTTTTTAAATTCGGGTTAAATTTTTTTAAATTTGAGATAAAAGTTTTTAAATTTTAACTTAAAAGTTCAAAATTCGACTTAAAAGTTTTCAAAATTTTCAATTTTTTTTGCTGAGAAAAAAAGAATGGTTAGCTTAATATACCATAATTATCGATAACTAATTACGTATACGATTTTTTCTAAAAGTCCTGCGCACTTCGTTGCGAAAAAATAGAAAAAGAAGGATGTAGCTAGTGGGCCGTGCGCGAGGATATGGGCCGAAAACGCTCGCGACTTAGCTAGCCGGCGCGTCTGCGCGCGATAGGAATCTCGCGCCAAGTGGCGGAGGTGGCGAGGACGAAGCGGCAGGAGAGGGAGGCCCGGCCCACTTAAAGTGATTAGGCCCGGCCTATTTACGCAGGGAGGGTTTTGGGCTGGGACGTGTATGCGTGGAGCGGCCCAGTTAGTGAGATTGGGCCGTAAAAAGAGGATGAGATAGCTTTTCTGTCGATCGGCCCAGTTAGTGAGATTGGTGCACAAGTCAAAATTTTGTCAAGTGATATGTTTTTTTCTTATATAAAACTAAAATGATAAAATTTTGCATGAAAGTTGTGTTTGCTTCATTTGGACTCGCTAGCTCGTTATTAAAATTTGGCTTTAAAAAAATGTAATAAATTGTAATAAAATTATTTTCAATCACAGCTCAATAAAAGACAGTGCCGGCTTGATTTCCAGACTACTACAACTTCTATAATCAGAAGCTCTCCAAACAGTTTAGATTAAAAAAACTATAATTATAGAATCCATAAAATAAACTAGAAATCAAAATCTAAGAAACACATTTTTTTAAAAAAATTCTCAGAAACTTACTACTACACGAATCAGCTATTTCTTATAATCTTAAACTTCTTAAATATGTTTTGAAGTACATGATGAATTTATACATGCAAGCCGGCTGGTGAAGATGATTAATTTACGTTTAGTTTGTTTATATAGTGTTTATAGTATATAATGATTCTAAATTCTTAGTTTTTAATAACAATCTTTTCGGCAATCATAAAAGCAGAGCGGGACAGTAATGAAAGTTGATAAAAAGAAACCATAAAACCAATCCATAAAAATTCAAAATGATTCCGGATTATAATCCGCAGCACTACGAGCAGGGCCTACTCTTGAGGGGCAAAAAGAACAAAAAAACCCATGATTTGTGAGATCATACAGCCGACCACTCATTCGTTTGGCCATTAATTTTGTATTGCATTACAAATATCTACTACTCCTGCATGCTAAACGGAAAAACGTAAAACATTGTGATCTTGACTAATGAGATCTACATGTATCTCTTCGAAAGATTCTTGACTGACAGCATAGAAAATGTCATGTGCCGCACTCATTGCACAGAGCCACAGACTGATCAATCTTTTTGCATCAATAATTCAAGCATATGGCCTGTGATAATTCTCAGGACGATCAATCTGTTTATGCCTTGCCTAGCGAGTACTCGAATCATCATGTGCTTATAACTTCAACAGATGGATGTACCGTACGTCACCGCTTAGCTCATGCATATAT